GTTTGACTGCAACCCAAAATATACTATCCCTTATGTGAAGGTATGTGACAACGTTTACCTTACCAAAAGAGTTTTAACATCAGCTCTCTTTCCATATAAAAGCACATACCCGGCTCCCCATTCAAGTATGTCTTCCTTTCCCAGGTGGGCTGACCACCTTCAGCAGGAGTCCTCCAAGAGTGCCCTACCCACTTCCCACAGTACACAACACTGCAGTTAGCCTGCAATCCTATCCTATGTATTTGCCTCATTCTTTCCCCTCTCAGTCCTCACTGAGTTTTAAGTTAGGGCAGGGAAGGAAGCTATGCCTTACTGGGACAGCAAGGAAGCAGAGTTTTTCTAAGGGAGAAGACATTCACCTTCACTATATGCCTGACAGTGCACAAAAAAACAAAGATCAGCCTTAATTCACTTCCGGGTTTCTCTCCTCCCTGTATCATTATTGACAAGGGTATACAAAATAGAGTTCCTGTTGCACATGTACCATCCATAAGGGATACTATATCGTTTTGCATTCTTCCCTCATTCTCCAGATTATCCTACTCTACAGTCAGCCCCTTCTTTACCTTAAAAAAAAAAAAAAATCTTTTCAGCACTGGTGTTCAAAAGCATCATTTTTATGGTTGATGTTTACCAGCAACTGTGAGATTTCCACAGTTAAGTCTTAAAAATTGCCAATCATTATCTAGCAGCAATGACAGATGGTTATGAGCAGTCAAATCCTCTGAATTCTTTCCCTAAGAGGCAGCCATTTGAGAACTGCACTAGCTGGCAGCACTAAAACATTATCAGCTAAAGCCAAAACCAAATAAGGGCCCAGAACATCCTGGCTCTCTAAAACCTGTCCAAAATCATTAAGGGAAAGGCAGTAAAAGCAGGACTGTGTGTGGATCATGTCACTGCAGCTGACAATGATTAACAATAGGAGACATGCAACCCCCATTAAGGTTAAAAGTCCAAAACTAGTCACACGCATCTCTTTATCAGGGAAAAGTAAGACTATTATGCATTCTTTGTAGGTTTGCAACCCTGCGTAAAGAGCACCCATTGCATTTCTTTCATCTTTCTGAAAGCACCGGTATCTGTTCCAAGGGCCTAACAGTACGAAAATACATTCTGGCATCACACCTCTGAACTCAAGACTGTTCTCATTAAAAAGAATAATTCTGGTTGGTAACAAGATTATGAAATACAATGCAAGCACCTTGGTATAGCATTATCACTGAAACCCACTTAATCCCCAGCTTTTTGACTTTTTTTTTTTAAACGCACTGCACTTTTTAAGATTCACAATTTATAGCTATATACAAATTAACACTAGTAATCAACTTAAGTCACAGGTTTCTCATTCTAAAGTGCAAAAGCCTAACAATCTTGGAAGTAAGCAGAATAAAGCAAAATTATCCCCCCACACAAATCATGTTCCTGAAGTCCATACATTATACCAAGTACGTTCTCTGAAAATTACTACTGACTGGTAAGAAATAAACCTGAGCTTTTATTCTGAACACCCAGCCACTAAACCACGGTAGCAAGCATTGACCACCGATTTAATGGATTATGACACAGGAAACCCCCATCAGGGTTCTATGCAATTTAGTGATACCTCATGTCACTAATACTGAGCATTATATTTGATCTGCATTGTATTATTAATATGGAGGAGCTAAACTAGTCACCATTTGCTCTTTTATCAGGAGAGTCAAAAGTTGTTTGCTTCAAAGGACTATTTACTTGTATAAAAGTACAAATCTGTCCCCACCTTGTCAGTTGCTTGCAAGCTATTTTTCTTGATACAATGGAAGAAAATTCTCAGTCATGAAGAGTTTTCACCGGCATTTATGCAAAGTAAACCAAACTTTCCAGTTACAGAGCAGAAAGCATTATTCATGAAAGCTGTTTCTCATGCATGCTAGCTAAAAACCAGTTCAGAGACCAAGGTTTTAAGTTGAATTGAGGTCTGGACCAACAGTCGATGCAAAGCTTAAGTCCGAAGCAACAAAAGAAGGTGATTTCAAAGACTTACGTTTTCTTCTAATTAAAACATTTTAGACTATAACATCACATCCCTGAAGCTAAGGGAAACAAATTCAAATGGCTACTCTGAACACATGTAGTCATCCTACAGGATACGACGAAGTCTTTCGATTGGGAATGATTCCCAACGGTGTAGGCAGAACAATGTTCCACACCACCTTCCCCCAGGTTTAGAATAGACATATTTAGACAAGTCACATAACTTGAACTATTCACATTAGATTCCCATCTAAGCCCAAGTTAGTAAAAGTGTTCCCATGGAGCCCGTATTTTTAAAAAAAATTAATTACATTGCACAAAAACCTGTACTTTTTTTAGTCTTAAGTCACTCAACTTGCAGAATAATTACCGAGACTGCATACTGAAATCACTGATATTTCTGACTCATGGGCAGGTCAGTTTGCTACAACGGAAGACTAATCATCACATGCTATACAGTCTGTGTCAAGGTGCTAAACGCACTCTAGTTCCCAAGTATGGTTTGGTTCCCTCTCCCCCACACCACTGATGTGTTCCATGTTATCTTCATTACAATGCAACTAAAGAAAACCACACAACTGAGTAGGGTATACCAAAGGATCAAGTCTGCACTTTTTATCTGAGAACTGCAACAGCACTGAATTCTGCCTGACAATTACAGCTCTAACCCCAAACCCACACAGTTTTGTTATAAGCTAGCTTTACCATGCAAGTGTTAGGTGCTGCACTGTAATTTCATTGTCAGAAGTGTGATGTCAGAATGCCCACGGAATAAAAGTACATAGCAAGTCACCAAGTTAGATTATATTGCTTGTTACCTACCTGTATGCAGTCGGCAATGAGAATCTTGGAGCAAGCAGGAATACTACATCCGGGTCCTAATGTCCATTGCCATTTGCGGTACTACGTTCCTCACAGTTACGCACTGCAGAAATGCTGGCTAAATGCAGTTATGTAGCAGGCCACTACTTTAATAATGCATAATTGCAGTCCAAGAACACCAGAAGATATTCCACCACAGCTTAGTGGCTTGCCCAAGAAAAGCCAAGAATCTACATTTTTATCTGCCATAATATGCCACTCATAAAGATTGCACAGACGTAACATTACAATTTCCCAAATTGTTATCTGTTCATTAGTGGTATATAATACATCTATAAAGAGTGGTGGGATTTATAGTACTTCTTTGGAGTATGATTAATGTTCTAAATCAAAGAGGACTAGGTTTCACTAGGTGACGTGAGCCAATCTGTTAAGCTTATAAGATACCTATTAAATACACTGGGGTTTTAGAGAAATGCAGTTTTTAAAGATTAGGAGAAATAAGTTTAAAAAACAACAACCAGTGTTCCTCTTAAAACAAACTTGAGAGAAAGTGGAGAAGAAATGGGGGCAGGTGGTTTCTTTAAATGAGATATATGGCTAAGATACTTCAAAATTATTACCTTCCCTTTCCCACCCCAAGTTTCCTATCAACTGTTAGGAAACTACTTATTAAGATGATTTAAATTCACATTAGACTAACTATCATAAACATTGCGAGACTTATTGAAAGTCTTTTTAAGTATCTTACAACCCTTGGTACACTGCTGTTTCAGTAATCAAAGTCAAATGTCACTTAAAACTAAGCAACATTATTTGCTAAACAATGTTTAGCAATTCTACAGCCCACAATAAGGGTATCCAAAGCCACAACTTTCAGGAGATTATCCATTAGCATCCTTCACCACTCTTCAAAGGTACAGTACTACCAAAAGCTTATTTTAGGGGTCTGTGCCAGCATCCCTTATAAAGAAAGCCATGTAATCTGAAAAATAAACTGAAACATTAATTTTATAGGCAGATTTTCCCATTTCCCCGCCATCCCCCACCCACACACATTCAAGTTCACCCTCTGTGGGTGTCCCATGAACACCCCTTTTCTTCTTGTCATTAGTAGAGTCCCTGCCATACAATTCAACCAAATTGTAATGGACTCCTTTCAAATCAAGACCCTTATTTCCATACAGAAAATCTCATATATATCACCAAATAACTTCACTTGGGACAAAACTTCCTTACTAATTATGGTGGAACTACCCATTTCCAAGTGTGTTGGTGAATAGTAAGCATATTTTCTAGTAAGATTCTCTCCCTTACTTAGCACATCATGTACCTGTCGTCAGTCATGCAACCAGAATTTGGTAACATGCTTTTATACTTTACTGAGTGTTTTAAGTATTACCCTGTTTCCTATGCAGAATAGTGCTTAATTGTTTCAACAATAGGTCTCCTTTTGTATTCAGGCACAATACTGAACTTCAGCATGTTAACAAAGGTTTGATTTATAATTTTTCTTTTGCCAATTAGCACCAAGAACAGAGGTGAAAAGGAGTAAGACACATTCCGTAGTAAGAGTTCTATACTGAACAGATTTGAATGGAAACATAACTAAGAAAAAAGCCAAACCATTCATTTACTTTACCTACTGTTAAGAAGTTGTTGTTCTAAGATTTACACTGGGAAATCAGACTCCCATTGTACTAACAGACAACAATAAACCCTCTAATATTGAGTCAAAGTCTCTTCTTCTAATGGAAGGAGATTCAATGAAGTTGACAATTAACTGACAACACCATCGAAACATTCCAAAACTTTATGGTGGGAGGAAGGGATATTTGTACTGTGTAGCATAATCAACTCTCTCCAGATTTAGTGCTACATCAAAAGGAAACTATGTAAAAACATGTTCCAAATTTATAATAGTTATCTGCAACCCTAGTTGTTGTAGCAGTCACCGCTAGCTCTTAGAAAGGAAAACCAATAGATTTTCTAGTCCTACAGATTTCGCCCAACAGAAGTAGCACAAGGAGATGTAAAAGTTACAGAGTACAAATGTATATATACCTGAATCTATGTTTACTAAACTTTCTTACTTTTCAAGTTGAATTTTTCAGACTAAACCCCATCTTTATAAGTCACTTGAAGTAATACATGAAAAGGGCTTCATGTTTAACAATCTTTAATTCAAATGTAAAAGTTCAATACAAGCCATTTGTAGGGCTTGGGATTTGTTGGTTCTATTAAAAACAAGAATGGGGAAATGCAACAAAATGATCTTTCCACTTTTCAAAACTTTCAAGGATAGATCATACGGCCAAAAAAGATCCATTTAACCCAACTCACTTTCTCCCCCTACCAAGACTCACACCCATTCCGTAATCTTAATACATATTCCTGAACGAAGATTTACAATTCAGCTTTGCTTACATAACCATTTAAAAATTCTTAGCACTGGCTGCTTCCTATAATGCCGAACAAATCATCAAACTACTTCAATATGCGTTTCTTTTTAAAACAAGGGGGCAGTTGTTTGTAGAAAGCAATTCTCAGCCTCCAGATATATTTCCCAGAAATGGCATATGCCATTCAAAGGCCTAGACACTCTCATGCTTTCAAAGTGGAATACCTAGCCTAATGTGCATAGAAGCATGAATGGCAAAGTTAAAGATCAATATTATAACTATTTTTCTATTTATTTGAAGCACAGTAAAAAAAAATTGGTACACTTTGGAAATTCAGTGGTACAAGGTACACTGCCATTACTTGAGGGACATTATACAGTTTTAAAAAAAAAAAAAAAGAAGAAGAAAATAAAAAGGAAAAAATTTTCTCCTGTTTCAAACACTGCATTACATAATTTTACCTGCCCAAACAGACCATTTACAAATATTAGGTCAATAAACTGCTAACATCCATAAAAAGGTAGCATTCTTACTAAAATGCAAGAATTTAAAAGATTGGTATCTAAACAAGAAAAGACAAAAACAAACTGGAATGAAAGCCTAGATATCACATCTAAAATCGGGGTTTTTTGTTTGGGCCTTCATACTCTTCTCTCCCTCTACCATATCCTGCTGGAGTTCCAGGCCCCATTCCTCTAGGACCCTGTCCACCCACAGGCCCCGCACCTCCCTGCCCAAAGCGCTCAGTACGCTATTGGAACAGTAATCAACAGTTCATTATATGTAGTTGATGTCCATGTGTGTTAAGTAAATATTTTAGAAGGTTCCGTAGTCAACGTTCGTCGATACAATCACCAATGAGTCGATCCACAGGTACCGGGAACATAGAAAGGAAAAAAGGGTAATTTGAAAATTAGTTTACGATAATACATGCCTTGTGGTATGTTCCCACTTGAGCCATTCTCATACACCTGTTTCAAAGAATAGATCTTCCCTGTAGTGCTAAAAAATTTAAGAATTAGTGCAGATGTGAAAATCCATTCCAAAATGAGTTCTAAGAAATTTCACATCAGATTAACCCACTGAAAAGCTTGCAAACTCTCACTTTCAACGTCTGAACAGGATATTTAAATTCCAAGTAAGCCTAACAAGCACAACCAGACAGATTCAATTCACTCAATGAAGTGACAAAGACCTACTCACCAGTCAGTGGTATGTGCTGCATAAGAAACCTTGTGCTTTGCAAGATCTTAAGACACATCTAAGTTGCAGAAATCTTAAAAGGTTGAAAGTTTTAACAAAATGCTACCGGACTACAAAAAGAAAAAGCATAAAAAACTAGTAGATTTAGTCACTTAACCAGCACTGTAACTTGATCAAAAAACTTGTGTTGCCATATTCTCACAGGTATACCACCTTCAGAGCCATCACTATATAACCAGAGACAATTATATTCACAGTACTATTCTATATTGTTGCAAATTGACTGAACATACCGGCCACCTTCGTAACAACCCAATTTTTCCCTCAGGTCTTTGAAAAGTACACTGACAGTTTGCTATGACTCCATGTTTTAGATATCTCCCAAACATCGTAACACCAAGCTAAAGTGACTGCAATAAAGCAGTGACTGACTTCATTATTCCATCTTAGTTTTAGGTACTTTTAGACTTAAAATAGTATGTACCCAAACAGCAGAACTCTATAGGTATGCAAGCACAGCAGCCTACATTGTCTTTCCCATTCCGTTTAACACAGACCAGTTACTGAGAGCATTACTCCAAAGAAAAAACTAAAATGACAGCAGGGTTTAACTATTCCTTTATATAATTTCAACATGTTTTTCTTTACAAAGTAGTATAGAGCTACTCAAAAAGACTAAACCTCAATCCTTTATTTTTGAAAATCTTAAAAACTGGAGGATTTTTGCCCATTAAGATAACTATGTTATATCTCAAAGAGCTAAAAAGGAAAATTTGGGGGTTTAATGATGTTACTACAACAGCTGAGAACCCAACAGCTACCTGTTATATAGAATCCTGACTGTGGGAACATCATGTCAAATTAGATTTTACAAATTTGATACATACCTAACAATCTGTCTTTTAAGGAAGCATATGAACCAAAATATTACCCGTATATTTTAAGAATTCAATTAGAAGAAAGCTAATAGTACTACATTTAACCCAACCGTTTACAGTTCTAACTTTAATCCTCAAAAGCTATAGGTAGATTTTAAATAGATAAAAGCCCATACTAAATGCTTATGTTTCTATTTATAAAATGAATCATATGAGCTATACACTGCAGCTCCCCAACCTTTGCCAAAAGCCTGTAGGTGAAATAATCACATTTAATTCATCTATAAAAGTGCACTCTCTAAACCCACCAAAATTAAGCCCTGAGGATTTATGAAGCCCTAAGGCAGCCACTCATACCAATTCACTTGATGGTTCTAAAGCATCTGACAGGCTATCTGTACAGCTAAAACATGATAGCATCAAGAACGTTCAGATCAAATGCACACAATTAGTATGCTTAAAATTGTTGATTTTTGCTACCCTGTAGCAAAAATAGAGATATCAGTTTATTTTAGGAGTACCTAAAGACAGGCCCAACATGTGGGAAACGACGAGTCAAAACACTAAATGATTCCCTTTGCATGGGATAGAAGCCACACCAAATATAGGTCAAAGTCCTGTACATCACTAAAACATGCCTAAAGCTACAAACTACAAGTCTGATTCCTACTTATGGCAAATACCACCATAGAGAATGACAGTTTGCCATTTGATTACTCTCACTTGGGCGTAGAATAATCAGATACATTATCTACCATCTAGAATTTGGATTTGCCATGCACTAGAATTCAAAAGTGCACAAGCAATATAATGAAAAGCACCTAAATCTACTTATTGCCAAAGATAACTCCACATACTACTAACAGCATTGATTCTTCGTTGGCAACCATATCTGTATAGGTTACCACACACTGAGTTCTTCTACGTTGCCAAAGTATTCCTCAATGTTACATGTTTACATATGATGGGGAGACTAAAAGAAGTCCAATCACCTACTTTTAAAAAAAAACACACATGAGTCATGAAAATGAGAATTTTCTTCGTACTATGTCCCATAAGATACATTACCATGTCGCTTCCCATCATGGAACCACTCATGGTTGCTGGTGGAACTCCAGGATTAGCTTCATAACCTATGCCACCACCACCACCTAGAGGTGGAAATTTCTGTCCTCCTGAACCATAGGGATCTAGAAAATAAAAACAGTGATTACAACTCCACCAGAATACTGCTCTCTAATGATAATGTTAATTCAATTTTCATGCTTACCTCCCATATTCATTGCTCCTCCACCACCCATTCTCATGTCTCGCTCTCTCTGAAAGAAAAAAATTCCTTTCATACACCTATGCCAAATACTGAATACAAAGAAATTTTCAAGATTAAAAAAAATAAAATACTAAGGTTGAAAAGGCTTTCTCATTGCCTAAAGTGTTCTTATAATTAATACTCTAAAAAGTATTTACACTCAACTATCAAAAGATCCATAAAACTTCTACACAATGAAATCCATACAAGGAGCAGAACAGATAGAACTCACGGCAATCAAACATCATATAATTGTTTTTTTTTTTAAAAAGGACTATAATGTGAGATGTTATATTTAACTGAGCCAAATTAGACTTCAATAAAAGTTGACTTACTGGATCCATGTAGCCCATCCGGCTATAACTTTCCTCTCTCTGGCGTCTCATTTGTTCTTCCATCTCACGTTGACGAATCATCATCTCTTCCTCCCTTCTACGTCTTTCCTCCTCTTGCCTGGAGATATTCATCAGGCATATAAACCAAAGTGTTATCCACATTTCTAAAAAACTCAATTTAAAGAAAACTACTACTGAAGAAAAGAAAAGAAAGCTACCACTTTACCTAATAACCTTATATCCTAGGTTAGAGCAGAAACACAAAGGTCTAAAGAGTCAGTCTAGGACATAGCACTAAAAACATTCTGGCAAAGAAAAAAAACCTCTTTAATGAAAATCTTACACTCTATTCCATTGCTAAGTGTTAAACCAACACTGACATAATATTCAACCTCTCTGTATTTCTCCTGACTCACCTGCAAAATTGAATACATCTTTTTCTATAAATTTAGAGCAGAAGTGAAGGCTTAGTTTAATAAAGATTTACCTCAATTGCATTTCTTTACGTTTCTGCATTTCTTGATTGTGAAGTTCTTCCATGCGCCTTAATTCTTCCTGGCGTCTCATCAGATCTGAACATTTGAAAATATTATTTTGGGTTCATGTTAATGAGTTTCTAATAAAGTTCAAAAGACAATTGATACTATCAGTGAAATTCAGAGGATCTTTTACCTTGGCGCAAAAGATTTGCCTGATGCTCGTGATAGGCATCTTCCATTTCACTTTCTAGTTTGTCTTTTGCATCCTTCATGTTTTTTTCAACTTGCTCCCTTTGCTGTTTTTCCATTTCATCCAAGGACTTCCATCGCTGAGAATATTCATACTCAAATGTGCCATGCTGGGCAAAACGAGGAGGGGTTTCTCTCTCCCTGACAATACACAAAACTTAAACATGAACCAATTTGTGGAGGTGTACCAGAAATGCTTCCTAATTCCCCTAAAAATACTGTTTTTTTCCCCTAGTCTATCATTTGGTAAGGAATACTAAAGGCAAAAACCACTTTGGTTCATATAAAGTATCTTCACGGCAAAAACAATACTCTGAAAATTATACAGTAGCAGAAAATATGGGCACTAGAGATAAATTCTACCTTCCTCATTTCCTAATTTTCTCTAGCAAAATTGCTCATCAAGGCTTATTTTCTCCATCTATAAAAATGCACTTCACACAATAGTCGTAAGAACAAAACAGGATTGCATGTGAATGTATGTACCTCAGAAACAAACAGCCATTTAAGTGACAGCTTTAACAATCTAACTTTCTGACCCTGAGGCTATTACTAAGAAGCATATTAATAGCAAAGGATTTTACCTATTTTTAAAATTGGAAAATTACTAGAGTATGTTCTTTTACATTTTACACTTAAAAACTGCCAAAAAGTTTCACCAATCTTACTTTTGATACATTGGATTCTTCTGTGCAAGTTTTTCAGGAAGACCATCTTCGTCATCTAATTGCTCAAGTGGTTCCACAATGACTGGACGAGGAGTTCTGGTAACAAAAATAGTTCCATCTTAACTCTGCTCAATTTAAGCAACCTCCTCATACAAGTTAATAGGAATTATCATAGTAAGCATAATTAACAGATTAGAAGTGGGAATAAACAAGTAAAAAAAGAATAGAATAAGCAGAAGATGGGGGCTGGCTAGCTATGGTTAGTCAGATGGTTAGAGCCTGGTGCTGATAACACTAAGGTCCAGGGTTTGACCCCTGTACCTGCTAACTGCCCCCGCTGCCTCCCCCCAAAACACAAGAGAACTTACGTGGTCAGTAAGAAAACACCTTCACTGCACCGTTCAAATGCTTTCCTTGCTGCTGGTTTAGAAGCAAATTCAACAATGCCTTTCCCTGTAGATCTTCCACGATCATCCACAATTACAACAGCCCTTTCAATAGGACCAAACTGGCTAAATGCTTCTTCCAGCAGTTCATTGGAAACATAAGGTGAAAGATTACGAACAGAAAGGGCAGCAGCATGTGTGGCAAAGCGAACCCGAAGCTGTCTACCTCTCATGGGGGTATCATCAAGTTCAGCTTTGGCAATTTCAGCCAAGGCTCTAGACTCCTGTAAGCATCAGAGACACTCATGTTAATGACTTCAAAACTAGTTATAAGCCTAATACCCTACTCCTATTCTTCCTCCAGCTCAGTTCAAGCACTATCTTCAGGCAACACTCCCTGACACCACTCAGAGTACTTAAGTGTCGTACCACCCCACTCCCCTTTTTCCTGAGGTACCAACAATTATGCATGATGCAGCAGGTTTATTTTCTCCGTAAAAACAGAATTTAAAAGGCCAATTTATTGTTCCTGGTTTAACAACTAGCCTTCATCATTTGTAGTGGCAAAAAACAAAAGCAAAACCCTTTTAATTACACATAAAAATCAAATAATTACACTCACAAGTTTAATAAATCCGAATCCTTTGCCTTTGTTGATAAAAACTTCTCCTGGTTCTCCGTATTTAGCAAATAGTCTTTTGAACTCATCCTCTGTGATATCAGCAGGTAGATTCCCAACAAACAACCGACAGCGCTGTGTGTAAGTTTTCTCTCCAGGCCTCCTCAAGAGGGACAAATTGGCTTTAAACCCCTAATGAAAAAGAAAGGAAATTCTCAAACATCACTGACCTCTACAAGTAGAATAACTCAAAAGTAATTCCCCCCCCCCAAACTGCATGTGTTTTATCAGTTGCTTTAACGTTCTGTTTAAAATCAAGATCAAGGTTTTACTGTACTTGAGAGATTTCCAACTTAATCACTATCCTAATATCAAAAAGGAAGCCATCATCCAGAACGCCCTTGAGAACAGACAAGATACATACACTCCCCCAAAAGTGGACTATATCAGCAACTTTTGTCAGCCGTATACACTATGCTCAGTGTCCCTAACAAACTTAAACCATAGTAGACGAAACTCCAAACAGGGGTCAAGTATCAACTGGGAAAAAAAGACACACAAAATAACCCAAATCCCGTCGTCACCGACACGACTGGGGCGCCTACGCTTTTAAGACCAGAATTGCACGTTCTTTCCAACCCGACATCTCACGTTCTGCACAGTCCTGGCTGCAAGGATCGGCTAGCTCCTACAATGCCCGTCCTCACGGCTCACAGGTTCCTTCCCAAGGCTACTCTCCCCTCGTCTTCCGCCTGCCGAGAGCGGCCAATCGCGGGCCGACTAGCGGTCCCCCGCCGCCGCCGCCCCGCCACGCCCCCCACGGCCAGCGCGCGTAGGCGCCCCTTCCGGCAGCCGACAAAATGGAGGCCCTCGCGCGGGGGAAGGGAGGGGGCCGACGCCATCTTAGGGGAACCGACGCGTCGCTCCCGGAGCCACTCACCTCCGAGTCGGAGATTTTCTCTTCGCTGCGGCTACCGGGCCCGCCCGGTGGAGGCCCCTGATGGTGCTGCTGGTGATACGGCGGGTGGTGCTGGCGGCCCCCGCGGGGCTCCCCGCCGCCTCGGTGCGGTGGCTTAGGGTGGCCGCCGCCAGGCTTCGGCCCACCA